TTTTACGATGCTGCATGATTCACCTGGCACTGAAATGCATTTTAACTAGTCACCTGAATATTGTTCAATAACTGCAAGTAGGCAGAGGTCAGGATTGTATTCCTTCAGGCCTAGACACTACAATACACATGGGGCCCCATAAGTATTTGTGAGTTGGCAGAGTCAATGCATATCACTGTTCTATCACTGATGGCTGCACACATCAGGCTGTGAACACGCCTCGTCTGGAAACTGATATGCCAGCCACCCTCCATCAGCACCATTTATGGAGAGCAAGCTAAGACGATTATATCCTCTGAAGGGCAAGATGAAGGGCTTTCTAAGGGTCATGCATGGCCCTTCTCGGTACAGTCTTATTTCTGATCTTCCCCAATAGCTCTCATGTTCTAGCTCCCCCATCATTGTTTACAGAGCTCCCAGTAGGCCAAACACAACTCCCTGCCTTTGCACACACTGTTCCCACTGCTGGAGCGGCCTTCCTTTCCTCACACTCCCTGTCCAAGTCCTGCTCATCCCTAGAGACCAACTCAAACGTCACCTTCTTGGCAAAGACCTTTGCTGAACTTCTCTCTCCTAAGCCCCACTTTCTTCTCTCCTAAGGTTGCTGCTCTCCCCCAGCCCCCATCTGTTTCCCAAAGCACCCTGTTTGTGGGTACCTCTGTCTCAGTCTCTGGGTGGCAAGCTCACTGAGGACAGACTCCTGGGCTGATTCCTCTGTGTCCTCCTCCCCCACTGGGCTGGATCTAGTAGAACTTTCTGTTTTTAACAAATACCATCTGGTATGGCAAGCCTAATCCTCTGTTGTACTTCTACGATGGCGTGTGTGTTTCCCCACTCTTGTAAGCGAATGTCCTTTTAGGAATCATCTCAGCATATGCCTTCTTTTCCGGTTCTCTCCATCACTCTAGACTGTGTTAAGCAGTACTGACCTCTGCATGGCCCTAGAATCCTCTTCCCTTCTTTCCCACCCCCCAAGGACATCATGACCTTCAACCATCAAGGATGAACTTCTAACCCACTAAGACCGGGGGAGCGGGGGAAAGACAGAGCCTGGGGTTGGGTGGGAGGTTGGCACATCTGGGATAGGAGTTGAAGCTGGGAGTCAGGCCAGGCCAGGTCCACTGGAAAATACCAGTGTGGCCCACAGCCCAGGCTATGGCCGGTCGAGAAGGCAGCCTTCAGGCCCAAAGCAAAGCTTCTCCTTTGGTCCAGCATAGCAGGGGAGCCCCTCATCTCCCTGCCTGAGAGATGCCCTTCGGCAGGACCAGGGCTCCTGGATCTGCCCAAGAGGCAGACTTTGTTGGTTTAGTTCCGCAACAAGGCTTCTGTTCCTGTCCCGGCTGTTACGGCCTACAGATTCCTGGTACCCGTCTGATTGAACAACTTAATTAAAATGCAGTAAAAGGAAAGTGGGCCGGATGTGATCCGAGAGAGGAGACAGGCGTCTGAGTTCACCGCCTGCCTCCTGAGCCCTGTGCCCCTTCCCATCCTGCCTACAGGCCCCTGGGCAGGCGGAGGCCATGGAACTCTGGACTGTAGTGTTGAGGGCAGAAGACCTTAAGGGTATCTGCTCCCTGAGCTGTTCATCTGATGACAGGGCAACTGAGGTCCAGCCAGGACAGCTGAACTACCAGAAGCCGCTCAGGAAGCTGTTAGCAGAAGCACGGGGAATCTCCAGGACTTTAAGACTGCTCGTCAGGGGCTGCTCTTGATATAATACTAGGTGGGAGAAAAAATTCTTTGAAAACACAGAAACCCTTGTTCTTGGGGAGTACCCTCTCCAGGGACCTCAAACATGTTTGTTCTTTTTTGGGGGTAAGAACTTTATGGAAATATAATTCGCATACCATACAATTCCCCCATTTAAACTACACAATTTAATGTTCTTTCAGTACATTCACAGAATTGTGTAACCATCACCACAATCAATTTAGAATATTTTCATTATTACCCCCAAAAATGCAATCCCCTTTAGACATGGTCCCCCAATCGCTCCATTCCTCCTGGCCCTAAGCAACCACTGATCGCCTGTCTGCCTCTATACGTTTGCCTATTCTTGACATTTCATATAAATGGAATCATATTATATATGTCCTTTTGTAACTGGCTTCTTTTATTTAGCATAATCTTTTCAAGATTGAGCCATATTGCGGCACGTATCAGCACTTCATTATTTTTTATGGCCAAATAGTATTCCGTCATATGAATATACCACATTTTATATATCCATTCGTCAGTTGCTGGACATTTGGGTTGGCTCTCCCCTTTAGCTATTTTGAATAGTGCTGCTATCAACATTTGTGTACAAGTTTTTGTGTGGACAGATGCTTCCAGTTCTCTTGGGTATTATGTACCCACGAGTGGAAAAAACCTGTTTGTTCTTGCATCTCATTAACAATATCGGTAACCATACCGGTGATTCTAAAGGATTATTGCACACATTGACTCAGAAGAATAGTGAGGACAGGAAGCTAGATGAAGCAAGAGAGGCACAGAGAGGTTAACTGTTTGGACACTGGTCACACAGCCATAGGAAAGGACCACGGAGGAGGAAGTCATAGCTGGCACTTGTGAAATTTAGTCGATGAAACATTTATAACTTTAGGAAAAAAGCCCTGGAACATTTTAAAAATCATACACATAGTCATGTGCACCATCACTTTAATTACATGGATTAGTTTTTAATTTGATCAGGTCCTTTCTTACCCACAGTCTCCTTTACGTTCTAGTTCCCCGTGAAGACCATTACACTCCCTCTCAGTGGAGTTAAATTCTCCTCCCACCTCCCAAGCTTTTCACCTCGTCCTCATCATGGGGAGTGGTGGCTCTGTAGGGAGTTTTGGAGCCTTGAGGAGTGGAGGCTCTTTAAGGGACTTCTCTTTGGTCGCAGCTGCAGTTCTCAGAGCGCTGTGTGTTGGAAGCACGGAGCCGCACCGTTCTCTTGCACCATCTGGGCCCTCGGGCCTGATCTGCATCTGTCACCAGAAGTGTGCATAGCAAAGAGTCGAGGTGGCGCGGACACCCAGCAGGTGGAACCAGATGAAACTACCCACAGTCATTATTTCTGACCTGCAGAAATGGTAATCTCAGGGTCAGCCTGAAAGTCTCTGGTATCCTCTCCTTTCCTTCCGTGTTCCCCTCAAAGACCCAGGTTGCAGGCTCTGGAAGCCTTTCAGCCCCTGCAGCCCAGCTGGTCATCCTTGCCCAGCTTCTGCAGTGGCCATTCTCCAGTTGCTCCATCTGCTGCCTGAAGACTTGAATGGGAGGGTCGGGAGACCTGGGAGTCCGGGACCTCTCCACTGACGGCCCATCTCCCCTCTGGTCTCTGCTTCCGGCTTGCCCCCCCCAATCCAGGGCTCCTAAAAGGCTCCAGCCACCCTCTACTTCAAATCTTGCAACGATTCCCCATCACCTAGTACCTATAAAGTACAAACACTCCAGCCAGTCCAGAAGACACAACTTCAGCTCCTGCTGCTGGGTTTCTGCTCCAGCCATGCCTAACTGCTAGCAGAACCCTGCAGGCACCCGCACTCTCTCACCTCTCCGCCCTGGCAGCTGCTCCTTTACTCAGCTGCCCCTGACTTATCCTTCAGGATCACTCCTGGGAGTCTTCCCTGGGCCCCAGGGCTATGTGAGGAGACTCTCCTCTCTGTTCCCATTTCTCTGTGCTTCTGTCTCTCCTGGCACTCATCGTCTATATTTGAATCACCTCTTTGCATGTTTGTCCCCGTCTACCCGCCTCTGTGGGCTGTGGGCTCTAAGAATCCTACCTCGTTCATCCTTCAGTCTCTATCATCAGTATAGGAAGAGTCAGTGAACTCTTCGCAACACAAGTAAGCGGTGGTGCCCATGACTCAGTTTCCCCATTGGCTGGAAACGGTCCAGAAGCTTGGATCTTGCCTCTTGGTCTTCTGTAAGTTTCATTTGCCTCTCCAGAACAGAAGGAAGCTAGTTTTAAGGGCTCTTTCAATTCTTATGGTCTAAGAACTGGGATATGAATCCTTGCCCTTCCAGGACCCCTCACCAGGATCCTGTGTGGTCCAAAGAAATAGATTATTTAAATGGTAAGTCTCAAGGAATTCTGAGGAAGATTATTTTGTTGTTTTGTTTTAATGCACCTAGTGTCTGCAGAACACCTACTAAACCGCATGCCGGCTTTGGGAACAGGGACTTGATAAAAAGTAAATACCAGCTTCCCTGGGTTTCTTTTGAGTGCTGCCTTCCAGCCAGTCTGGGAGCGCTTGTCCACGCCTGCCTTCCTCCTCTCTCGCTGTTCACTCCTCCAGGACCTGTCTGGTCCATCTCCCCACATTTGTCGCTGCCGGGCCAGTCCGCATCCAACGCGCAGCCGGATTGAAGTTGGCCCTTCGGGCCTCGGCCCGGTCGCCCTCTGGCGGCCGCGCGCTGAAGCTGCGGCCCGGCGGGGAGCTGGAGAGGGGAAGGGGGAGGAGGAGGCGCGGGCAGGGGGAGGAGAGGAAAAAGTTGCGCTGGGAAGTTTGGAAAGTTGGGAAGTGGCTGCTGCGGGCTTCGCCTCCCTCCGCCCGCGTGTGAGGGAGCGAGCTAGGGAGCAGGAGAGGAGCGAGCGAGCGCCTGCCATGCCCATCAGACCCCGCCTCGCCGCGCCCGGGCGCGGAGCTCTCCCCGACTCCCTGCGGCCCGGCCCGGCGCGGCCCCGGCCCCCCGCCCCCCGCGCCGGGTCCTCCCCTCCCCCCGCCCCGGCGGCCCCAGCCCCCCGCTCGGCCCGGCTCCGCGCCGCTCTCCCGCCCTCCTCTCTCCCTCCCTCCCGGCCGCGGAGCAGCATGGCGGAGCCCGGGCAGCGGCCGCGCGGCCGCCCGCCGCCCCTCTGAGCCCCGCTCGGGGGCCACCGGGCGCCCCAGACCCGACCCCCGCCCCCGCCGCGCCCGCCGCCGCACTTGTCCCCCCGCGCGCCCCCTGGAGCGCCGCGCACCCCTGGGACCGTTGCGCGCCCCGGGTCCCCAGCATAACCCCGCGACCCCGCGCGCCCGCCGTCCCGGTACTACCCCGAGAACCCCGCGCGCCCCTGGACCGCGACGCAGCTCCGGGACCTCCGCGCGCCTCGGCAACCCCGCGCGCTCTCACAACCCCGGGGCTCGGCCAACCCGGCTGCGCGTCCCGGCCAAAGGGCCCCGCCCCAGAGGATCCCCCTCTTGCAACAGACGGAGCCCCGCCCCAGAGGGACCCCCAGGTCCGGCAGGGACATCCAGCCACGCCCCAGAGGGCTCCCGGCATCCCGTGTCTGGAGCCCCGCGCTCCAGAGGAACCTCCGTGCCCAGCCGGGGGCTGCCCGCCCAGCTGAGGGGCGCCGCCCAGAAGGGTCCCCCGCGCCCCGCGGGCCCCGGCAGGATGCACGCCGCCCTGGCGGGGCCGTTGCTCGCCGCCCTCCTCGCCACCGCCCGCGCCCGCCCGCAGCCCCCGGACGCAGGACAGTGCCGGCCGCCCGGATCGGTGAGCGAGCGCCCGCCTGGCCACTCTCCCGGCCGGCCACTCCAGCCCTGCGGGGACGATGGTTTGGGGGGGTCCTACCTTCCGCACCCACCTCGGCCCACCCGCTCCACCTCCGCCCGCCGGGCGCAGCCTCGGGCGCCCTTCCCTGGCTTCTGCCGCCGGGGCTCCGGCTCCGTCCGGGGAGGCAGGCGAGTTGGGGCGCTCCTTCTCCAGCTCCTTCTCCAAACGCTGACGCTGTCGGGCTCTCCTCGACTTTCGGTCCTGCTTGGACCTTTCCTCTCTGTGCCCTTTTTGACTCCCCTCTTTCTTACTTTTAGCCTGTCCTTACCCTCTGGTTCCTCTCTTCTCATTTCTGACTGTTTCTACCATTCCTTGCCCTTCTCTTCTCTGCCCCTTCCTCTCATTCTTACACGCTCAGACCCCCTGCAGGCTTCCCTCTGCCCCCTGGTCCCCACCCTTGACCTAAGGCAAACTTTCTCCCTCTCCAGCCCAGGCCCCAGCACCCACTCTCCCAAGTGCCCCGATTTCACAAAAAGGAGGAAGATTCCAGAGGAGAGGAAAGAAAGTGCCAGGACATGCTGGCCTAATATTTCCTTGGGGGTTGAGTAATTACTAGTTCTCCTCATTTTTCTTCCAAACTCAGGAATCCCTTGATTGCCCTCAGTCTCTCTCCCTCAAAGTGTAAATTAACGCATGGAAAATAACTCTGAATTGGAGGCCAGGGACCAGGAAAAGTTTGTGTAGGGTCCTCACTGGCTGCGCTCTTAGTTGACCTTGGGCAAGGTGCACCTCCAGTGTCGTGACTTGTTCAGAAACAGGGAGCTCTGCGACAGGCAGGGTGCTCAGAACTAGTCTCTCTCCAGTATGCTGGGATTTACAGTTTTGGGTTGTCAGTAAAGTAAGGTACTGTTCCCTTTGCCCACCCTGACAGATACTTCTCATTTGTGCTAGAATCAAGCAGAAGAATTTTATGAGTTGACCGAAAGCTTGCAGACGGTGGATGGCAGTGGACAGTCCAGGGGGTATTCTGGATAGAAAATGCCTGAGAGAAATGATAGTCCCTTTCTCATGCCCCTTAACCCCTGGACCTAAACTGGATCTGGAGAAATGACCCATGTCCTCCTGCCCCTCCTTCACCTCTACACAGACACACACATCCCTCTTCAGAGCTTAGGTGATGGCAGAGAACTGGACTTGGAGACCAGGTACACCTTTGGAGGGGAGGAGCCCAGAAAGCATGTACGTTTCTTGGGACTAATTCTGTGAAATCTTTCCCTCCCAAATCAGGGCCTTGAGACTTTATTTAGCCTGCAGGTTTTAAAGCACTTTCTCATCTGTGGTTTCAGCTGGTGGAGCAGAGTAGCTGACACCCCAGACCTGCCCTCCAAAAAGAAAATTGTATCCGCCCTGCTGAATGGGAAGTAGCTGTTTAAATAGGTGTGCTATTTTTAATAGGTGTTCTGCTTTCAAAGTGCTCTTGGCATGTATCTTCTAATGGTTGGATTTAAAAGTTATATGACTTCCTCCTTTCTTGCCAGAGCAGGACTCTTGGTCCCCCTCTTTCCACCCTCCCCATGAAACACCACCGGTGAAGGTTTGGCTTGGCCAAGCATGAATATTCTCAGGTGGTGTGGCGGTCCTTGGCACTCACAGTGAGAGCCAGTCATAACGAGAGCTTCCTTCACTGCCTCCTCCCTCTGTGCCTGGCACTGTTCTTCGGGCTTATTTACATAGATTGTGTCTTTTCATTCTCCCAACAATCCCTGGGGTGGCTGCTTTCAGCTCCCATTTTACAGATGGGGAAACTGAGTCTGTGGGAAGTGAAACAGTGTGCTTAAGATCATACAGCTAAGATATGGGTCTTCCAGCTTCCAAAGCCCTTGCTTCTTCCCATGGCCCCATGTAGCTCTCTGCCTTCCATCCCCAGCTCCACCTGCCCCCTCTGTTCTAACCTTGGCTTAATTCTGCTGCCTTCAGCCTCACTGCCTTCCTTTACCTGTCCCCCTGCAGCAGAGGGACCTGAACTCCTTCCTGTGGACCATTCGGCGCGACCCGCCGGCCTACCTGTTTGGCACCATCCACGTCCCCTACACCCGCGTCTGGGACTTCATCCCGGACAACTCCAAGGCGGCCTTCCAGGCCAGCGCCCGCGTCTACTTTGAGCTGGACTTGACAGACCCCTACACCATCTCGGCGCTGGCCAGCTGCCAGCTGCTGCCGCACGGGGAGAACCTGCAGGACGTGCTGCCCCGTGAGCTCTACTGGCGCCTGAAGCGCCACCTGGACTACGTGAAGCTGATGATGCCGTCGTGGATGACGCCCGCGCAGCGGGGCAAGGGGCTCTACGCCGACTATCTATTCAACGCCATCGCGGGCAACTGGGAGCGCAAGAGGCCGGTGTGGGTGATGCTCATGGTGAACTCGCTCACGGAGACCGACGTGCGCTCCCGGGGCGTGCCTGTGCTTGACCTCTACCTGGCCCAGCGGGCCGAGAAGATGAAGAAGAGCACCGGGGCCGTGGAGCGCGTGGAGGAGCAGTGTCATCCGCTCAATGGGCTCAACTTCTCCCAGGTAAGCGCGCAGCGCCCGCCCCAGAGCCCGGCAGCCCCCGTGCGCCTTGGTCCTCTTCTCTGATGGTGTTCCCTCGGCAGGCAGAACCCTGCCCTTCCCCGAAAGGGAGAGGGTCTTTGGGGCTGTGGGGCAGCTCTTGAGCTGCCTTTGTGGTGAGGGCAGCTCTGGCATGTGCTGGAATTGGGGGTAAGAGTCTGTGTGTTTTCTTCTATCTCAGTGGTGCTACCTGTTGGGGATACACACTCCCCACCTGCTGTGCTCGCCCGAGCAGAAAGAATTTCCCTCGGAGCATCACAGTGATGAAAAACAAAAAGAAACAGTTTCCAGTTTGGGCCTGACTTTCCCTGAGACCCTGGGGTCTCGAGAGCAGGAGGCTGTCTTGAGGCTGTTGTATGGGTGCATCCAGGCAGCTGTGTGTATGTACGGAGGACGAATAGAGGGAGACGGGCTTCTTGGGGTGGGGTTGGGGGCGGGGGCAGGAGAAGTGCGATGGGCCTGGTCTCTAGTGACCCTGGCTTGCTGTTAAGCACTGCCAGATTTCCCGGGGCCTCTGCAAAGCTCCAGGTGACCCTCGGACTGCCTCCCCTAGGCTGGGAGAAAGTCAGCAAGGATAGTTTTGGGGTTAATAATTTCAGAGAAATGCGTTCACTTCAGGGTTGACAGTTCTGATTCCTGAACCTCAGGTGTAGGGGCAGGGAGAAGGGCGGAGCTTAGGAGGTTTAAAGTCTCTGGCTGCCAGAGACCTGATCCAGCAAAATGTCATGAAAAGCCCCGTCTCCGTGGTCAGAGGTCACTCACAACTCACTGGCCCCAAACTCAACTCTGAGGCCCAGGGAACAATGAGTTCACATCTGCGCCTTGAGAACGGGCTGTCAGTCCCTGAGTCAGGGCTGGTGGCTCCTGCAAGGAGGCCGGGCCCATGCCCCAAGCGTGGTGTGGTCCCCAAGACATACTCCTCCCGTAAGGAGACAGCCCCATACATTGGCCAGACTAGAAACTCTACCACTGGAACCAGACCTGCTTGGCTGCCCCTGAGATGTTGCAAGCTCTTCACCAGGGAAACAGGGGCAGAAACTGATCCCCCTTCGGAGATCTCTGGCTTTTGTTTTTCCAGGGGAAATGCAATATTGTCCCCGGGGAGGTAAGAAGCCAGATTGATTTGCCGGCCAAATGAAAGGCGGGTTTGTCGCTTCTCCTGCTGGCTCTCCCATAATTGTGGAGCCCTTACCCAGAGGGCCCCGGTGGCAGGAATATTGGGGCAGTTAGTCACGCCCCGCAGGGTTCTGACTACGCCTGACTCCTTCTCTGCGGGGAAAAATCCTGTGCATTCTCTGGCCCAGCGCTGATTCCTCTGAACGTACCGGCTTTCTCCCTCTGAAGTGACTTTTCCCTTGCCAGCCTCGGGAGCTGATATTATCTGCGTTGGGCTCCCCAGCGCTCGCCGCCCATCTCATTTTGGAGGCAGGTTTGTAGGAGGCCTCTCTGTTCAGAGGCCTCACGTCTGGCCTTGATATCTTTTTTAGGCTGGGGAGGTGGGGGGATCCACCGTCACTCTCAACACCCTCTTTGTACCAACCACAGAGGAATCCGACCAGAGGCGAAGGGAGCACACAGACCCTCTGGTTAAACAGCCCCTGGCTTTAATCTGTCTCTCTTAAAACAACAAAACTATCTTTCTTCGAGGTCTGGAAACACTGCTGTTCAACCAAAGGACGGCTTTGGTAGGTTGAAAACATTTGCAGGAAAGTGCGTGAGGTTATGTTTTAGGAAAAGTTCCTGAGAGCCATTCATCGGCCAGCGAGGAGCCCGCTGACAGTCTCCAAAGCCCACATTTGAAGATCAAACAGACTCAAACCTCTGGTTTCAAAAATGCACCCGCCCATCACCAGCCCAGGCCCGCTCTTAAAATTGTTCTTGGGTCCAGCTCCTCGAGAGGGCTGTAGGAAGCAAGTCCTGAACAAAAGAAAACAGGACTCCTCTCGGTTCCCTAATCTGCACACCCTTCACCACCTGCCAGAGTGCCTGACCCCGCCAATTTGTCCTGTTATCATTTTGGAGCGAGGTGATGAAATCTCTCCTCCATCCCCGTGGGCAGCCGTGGGCTAACTGTGAAGGGAGGGATTCCAGAGCCTGGGCAGTTGGGGTTGTTAGGGATCCCCAACCCCAAAGTCAGAAATGCAACAGCCTTCTCAGTAAAATTGTATGCACGCGTGCACAGTTTGATATGAACATCTGTGATGCATTATTGTACTGAAATATCTGTTAAGTGCATCAGATTTTTATTTTTTCTTTCCTCCCAGCATTACTGTTATTGCAAAATATTTGGGGAGGGGGGAGCAATGCGAGAGGAAGGACGGGAAAAAAGCCTTAAAAGAGAGCGCCTGTTTGTTAAGACTGGAATTTTAGTGTGTGTTTTTTTTAAAAATAAATTTATTTATTTTATTTATTTATTTTTGGCTGCGTTGGGTCTTTGTTGCTGTGCGCGGGCTTCCTCTAGTTGCGGCGAGCGGGGGCTACTCTTCTTTGCGGAGCACGGGCTTCTCATTGCGGTGGCTTCTCTTGTTGCAGAGCGCGGGCTCTAGGCGCGCAGGCTTCAGTAGTTGTGGCACACGGGCTCAGTAGTTGCAGCTCGTGGGCTCTAGAGCGCAGGCTCAGTAGTTGTGGCGCACGGGGCTAGTTGCTCCGTGGCATGTGGGATCCTCCTGGACCAGGGCTCGAACCCGCGTATCCTGCACCGGCAGGCAGACTCTGTAACCACTGCGCCACCAGGGAAGCCCGATTTTAGTCTTAACTTTAGTATTTCTCAAAATTTTATATTTTCTTCTGGTCAGAAATACCACATTTTGCCTTGCTAAATGGAGAAAGAAAGCTACATGGCCTAGAGGAATGACTGAAAAAGTTTCTTCCATCATCGCACAGCTTGAAAGATCCAGCGTCTTGGCCATGGTCTCTGATTTTAATATAAACTGAGGGCACTAGACCCAACATCACCATGAGTTTGCTCTGTGTCCTTGAGCAAGTCACGTCACCTCTCTGGACCTTGTTTTTCCCACCTGTGAAATGAGACATCAGGATTAGGTCATCATTCAAGCCACTCCAGCCCTGACATTCCATGGGACGATTATAATCAACTCCATGTGCCAGGCACCTTGCAGGAGGCTCCGCACGCTTTTTCATCTTGTTGGAGTCTCACAACCCTGGAACTTTCTAAGGTGGGCACTCAGAAAGGCTGGATGACTTGCCCAAGGTCACGTGGCTAGTATGGAACAGAGCCGGTCTGCCTGACTCTAAAGGAAGGATGCACTCCTCCTGCTGCCCCATGCGCGTTCTCTAGACTTCCTCCATGTAGGTAGTTCGTGTCCTGCAATTCTTCCTTCAGTACTTTCTTCTGTTTTCTTCTTTCCTTTAGAGCTTAAAGGCTTAAAATTTTACTTTTTGGAGAATTTATACTTCTAGAGAAATTATTTCCTTTGGCTATGTGGCTGGAGCAGGGATGGTAAAGGCAGGTCCTCTGAAGATTTCCGTGATGTGTTACAGACAGCTCAGCATAGTGGGCTGAGAGATGGGAGACTAACTTCTAGGTTTCAGTCCCAGCTCTGGCTCTAAAACCAATGACTTGTATGTAACTCTGGTGTTCTTAACTAGCAATCGAATTGGGCAGTAGTGACCAGCCTTTCACAACTGAGCTGGTTTTGTGAGGACGTGAGAAGCTGCTACCTGTGGGAGGTTGTCGAGAGGGTAAAATGACTACCTAGATGTAAGGCTTGTGCTTGGAAAAGAGTCCGGGCGGCTTCAGGACAAGGAAAGGAGAAGGCTGCGTGGGAAGCGTCAGCTCTGCCCTGTTGGCACCTTCTGCCAGCAGCCCTGTCCACTGCCCATGCTTTGCTGAACAAAGTAAAGCTGGAGTAATAGGGGGTGGTGGCAGCCCCTGCCCTCGGGGGCCTGGGGATGCCTGAGCTTTGAGTCCAGATCTTGTGACAATCTTGGGACCTGCAGATTTCAGTCGGCTCTGCTGGCTGCCTCTGGGGACTGGTACCAGCTGCCACGAACACACTGGGCTGGTTAGGAGACCTCCTTCTCCCTCTAGGGGGCCTCAGTCCCCCCCACTCAGTACAGTGGAGGCACTAGATGAGGAGACCTCTAAGTTATGTGGTTCTCTGAGGCAAAATAAGAAAACGGGACACTGCCATTCTGTACTTGGCTGGGATTTAGCTAACATGCCGATGCCATCCATCCAATGTGCGTAGAGCCTGAACATTTGGGCGTGGCTGCCAAGGGTGTCCGAAATGTTTGTAAAATTCTACAGCCCCCTCTCTAGGGAGTTAGAAACCCCAAAGTCATCATTTATGGAGCTGTATCTCTGTACAGGGTGCTACATTAGACCTCGTAAGTACATCACCTCTGATCCTCACAGAGATACGACAAGGCAGAGTGTCATATCTCTTTTACAGACAATAAATTAAGGCTTAAAAAGGCTAAGTCATTCGGTTGTGATTATACAGCCAGGTGAGGCGGGCTCAGGATTCAAACTCAAGTGTCTGTTGCCAGAGGCCATGTTTTTCAAGATTCTGAGAGCTGACATAATTTTGCTTTTAAGAGTCAGATGGCATTATCTGGTGACGTGTGTGTGTATTGGAGTGGAGGGAGATCACCATATCTTTCTAAAAAATAAAATAAAATATTAAAAATGTATAGAAAGAGATCATTGAAAAGTGCTGAAACTGATTTTCTCCCTGGCTTAGAAATTGAATCTTATTCTAAACTAGGAGTTCCCAGAGGCATGCCCAGCTTTCCAAGGGACCGTTGTGAAGACGGCACCCCTAACACAGGCTAGGCAGCACAGTTGAATAAAGGGTGTCCTTGGTTATAGTCAGAGGTCCTATATCTATATCATATATTATTGGGTGCTCAATTAGTATTTAGAGAGAGAATGAATGAATGAATGGTCAGAAACCGTGATATGACGATCCCTGCTTCCCTTCCTTCCTTCCTTCTTCCAG